TGTGTGTGTGTGTGTGTGTGTGTGTGTGTGTGTGTGTGTGTGTGTGTGTGTGTGTGTGTGTGTGTGTGTGTGTGTGTGTGTGTGTGTGTGTGTGTGTGTGTGTGTGTGTGTGTGTGTGTGTGTGTGTGTGTGTGTGTGTGTGTGTGTGTGTGTGTGCATTGCTCCCTGTTCAGAGAGACAGAGTACGATTTTCTCAATTGGTTTACTGCTTAATATAGAAATTGTTTTCCTACTACATATCGAAGCCTCCACCATTGGACCCCTCGGGCCGCTAGGACTTGCCTCAGGGGATCACAGGAATACACCTGACATCTAGCCTGTGTCTCACACACCTACACCTCAAGCCTGGAAACCTATCTCAAGGAATTCAGCCAACGTGTACCCTGCCACACACATACACACACCTACACACACAAGACTGTTACGTGAAGACGAAGGGATAAGCCAAGATAAAAGTGTGAAAAGATAACAAGAATCTGAAGAACATCAAATTCCTGGCAGCGTCTACTGGAAATAAGTTTGAGGGGGAAATAAAGTTGTAAGCTGAAGAAGGCTTGGCAACTCCTGCCGAGGATGGAATGATTTGATCAGCAGTGGGAACTATATGGGAATGTTTAATCGATTGCCGAGTAAGAGACATTCTTAGCTGGGCGTCACGCTCTTAGTTGAACACATTCAGCGACAGTAAATGAAGGTATAGATCATGTATTTTCCCTGTCCTTCACTGTGCATGGAATCAAAGCTGCTCTTGTTAAGGAAATGAGGACGGCACCTACGGTGCGACACAGACGCCCCAAACATGCGAGAGAGAGAGAGAGAGAGAGAGAGAGAGAGAGAGAGAGAGAGAGAGAGAGAGAGAGAGAGAGAGAGAGAGAGAGAGAGAGAGAGAGAGAGAGAGAGAGAGAGAGAGAGAGAGAGAGAGAGGAGAGAGAGGTAGTGGAACTCTACAAGCACCAGAGAACTCTACAAGCACTCTCAACTTAACCAGAGTTAAGTTGTAGCACTTAACTCTACCTCTACCAGAGGTAGAGTTAAGTTCTTCAAGCACGAGAGAGACAGAGTAAATCTCTACAAAGAAGAGAGGTAGCGTTCTAGAAACACTGGAGAGGTGGAACGGAGTTCGGCAAGCATGAGAGAGATAAAGTGGAGCTTTGCAAGACTGCAACGTTGATCACTGAGACCAGTCAAGATGAATCTGAACACAGAAGAACTTATCCAGTATGGAGTGTGTGTGCTAAGCTATCCATCTCAAACTTCTAAAACAGAGCAAACAGGGAATTTAACATTTCACAAATTGATTCGTGATTCTAGAGTGCGTGTCACATTTACACATGCTTCAGTTACTCTCCGAATACACCTGTCCCTTGATCACTATCATCTGTAGCTGATAATTATCATTTTCCACAATCACTAGAATACAAAAAATAAATCTGAATGATCTTAAATTTTGTTACGTGTATTGAACATATCTTATTGTTTAAATTTTATATATAGAAGCAACGCTGCTTCTTAAATTACTTACGGGATAGATTTAATTCCCCTGGGTAGAATCAGGCCAATGTTTTCACAATGTCACGTAATCGACGCGCAAATGTAATTACAATAAGCAGTTGAAGAGTCACAATAACGTGGCTGAAAAATGCTGACCAAACCACACACTAGAAATGATCGTCTCTTCAATTTCTAGTGTATGTGGTTTGGTCAATATGATCATAATTAGTTCGGATAAACCTTAGGTCTATCCGGTCATTCATCGTCCCTTATACTGGCGTCCTGAACAGGGTTGTCCAGCGTCATTAACACTTCTTCCTCACTGGATTATCTTCACTGTAAAGTGTTTACTATAAGTGTGTTGCATGTCTTTGAACTTTCTCAATTGTATGTTTGTTTCAGTGTCGACACTGTATCATACATCCAGGTGTGGACACCTCACCATTGCTGGCAGGGTCACCATACTGCAGCTGCAGATGTAGGCACCATACTGCAGCTGCAGGTGTGGACACCATACTACAGCTGCAGGTGTGGACACCATACTCTGGGTCGTTATGACTGAGAGAGAGACTGAAGGAGACAGCTCAGCTGCGAGAGAGACGTCACCTGGGCTCAGGATGCTGCTGATAGCGTCTCCAGGATTCACAAAGGATTACTATAATGAACCGGGGGATTTATGTGTATTAAGAGACTCCAGAAGCTTATGTGGGATTTTATTGGTGAAGTGCTCGAGTTGTGGGGCTTAAATTGTTCATGATTAGCTAATTAAGACACACACACATATCCATTATATAAATGTATGTATGTATCTATGTATGTATGTATCTATGTATGTATGTATCTATGTATGTATGTATCTATGTATGTATGTATAATATGTAGTGTCTCGGCCTCACTATGTGCTAGATAATCTGGTTGAACTGTCATCCCTCTGAAATATTTTGGAGAGGTAAAAACCTTTTTTATTTGTTATTTTCTGTGGTATAGGTTTTTATTTTGGTATAGTCAAGCTTTTAGCTATTCAGGTAAGCTTAGGAGGGCCCGATAGCATTGATGTTATTGAGGGGTGCTGGTTTATGTGTGTGTGTGTGAGTGTGTGTGTGTGTGTGTGTGTGTGTGTGTGTGTGTGTGTGTGTGTGTGTGTGTGTGTGTGTGTGTGTGTGTGTGTGTGTGTGTGTGTGTGTGTACTCACCTAGTTGTGCTTGAAGGGGTTGAGCTCTGGCTCAATGGTCCCGCCCCTCAATCGTCAACAAACACCCATGACTGTCTTTCTTCTCATTAGCTTCCCTGGTTACATTCTCAAATGGTCACAATCTAGATTTTCTTGATTATATTCCTCTTTCCATCTCTCTTTCTATTCTGTTCCATTCTATTCTCATTCTTCTCTTCCTCTTTCATCTCATATATCATCGGCAAGTGATGCAAACTGCGGAGTTTGACAGCTAATAGCTACTTTCAAAATTATCATTGGCCTTTACTGCTGAGGTTGTGAAGCCTCTTGTTACAGTTCAGATGAACTATCGGCCGTTTCCTCTGTCTGTCTGTCTGTCTGTCTGTCTGTCCGTCCGTCTGTCTGTCTCTGAGTTTCATTTGTCTTCTCTCAACATGCTTCTCTCATGCGCCAACATAATTACATTCCTTCTTGAAATATTCACAACACTGTCAAGATAATTAGTATAATTTCTTTACACATCTGTTGTACAGCTTCCTGCTGTACTACATCAAAGAAACTCCCTTAAAGAAGCTGTTATCACGATGCTGACGTTGTTCAGCTGACGTAGTCCAGCTGACGTTGTTCAGCTGACGTTGTTCAGCTGACGTTGTTCAGCTGACGTTGTTCAGCTGACGTTGTTCAGCTGACGTTGTTCAGCTGACGTTGTCCAGCTGACGTTGTTCAGCTGACGTAGTCCAGCTGACGTTGTTCAGCTGACGTAGTCCAGCTGACGTTGTTCAGCTGACGTAGTCCAGCTGACGTTGTTCAGCTGACGTTGTTCAGCTGACGTTGTTCAGCTGACGTTGTTCAGCTGACGTTGTTCAGCTGACGTAGTCCAGCTGACGTAGTCCAGCTGACGTAATCAGTCATCACACAGCCTGTTGCTGGTCCAGGTCCTCAACTTGTAGCCTTAATGCACTACAAGTTTACGCTATCGATGCTAACGTTAAAATTGCTGTGGTTTAGGGAAATTTAAACCACAACAATATTGACGCTTTCGGGAACCAGTGAGTACCGGTGAATTGCTTAGGTTCTAATGTTTTTGATTAGTCGAGAGAACTGTTTATAGTGGTAGTGCCTAACAAGCTTTCTAAAACCTGCTTGTTACGTGGTCTGAGAGATGTTATCATAACCAAACTACTCATTAGAAGATAAATAGCCGAAGACGTTTCGGTCCGTCTTGGACCATCATCGAGTCGAATGTTTTACAATGGTCCCGGATGGACCGAAACATTGTCGTCTGTTCATCGTGTGATGAGTGGTTTGGTTATCATGTCTTCAGCCACGTTATTGTGACTCATCATCTGAGATGTTTGTGATAGCTTTGAGATGTAAAGATAGTTTATAGAATCATCTTCCGCCAGGGTTTCAAGTGGCTGTGGGGGGGGGGGGGGGGAATATTACCCCTTAACAAAGTGTTCTTCACCGTGATATTGCGTAGTGTGGAAGGACCTAGTAGTTACAGTGTGTGTGGTGGTATTCGATGAGGAAGTTCACGTAATGTTCTTTCTTAGTGAGAGATTCGTTAGTCTCATTGGTGAGTAAGGTCTCTTAACGGAGCTCCTAGTGTGAGTTACTATAGTCCCCCGGGTGAGTACTGGGCCCCGGGTGAGTACTGGGCCCCAGGGTGAGTACTAGGCCCCCAGGTGAGTACTGGGCCCCGGGTGAGTACTGGGCCCCGAGTTCAGACGTTCTATAAGCAGTATGAACGGGCTGTGATGTTGGAAGATGGGAATGAAGGATTGGAATAAATCCCTTGATGTTTGTTGACAAGGAGGAAGAGAGCAGAAGAAATCCACTGATGTTGACAGACGGGCCTTTAGAGTCGTAGTAGATGCAGTGATGTTGGTAGACGGGACTGTAGGTGAAGAAGAAGGACAGAGGCACTCTTGAACAACCCAAACATCAAGTCCGGAACGATGGGTCGTAAACTTAAGAGGCAACAATTTCTCATCAGACGTAAAATATATTCTTCCTATAAAAGCTGAGCCACAACTTACATGAAACTTGGAAGGAAAAGTGTATTATTTTTTATTTAGTCTCCAGCACTATAAAGCCTTTATCTCTCCAACACTACCAAGCTTGTCTTCCTCCAACACTACCAAGCTTGTCTTCCTCCAACACTACCAAGCTTGTCTTCCTCCAACACTACCAAGCCTGTATCCCTCCAACACTACCAAGCCTGTCTCCCTCCATTACTACTCAGGCAAGGCAATAGCCACCCAAGCAATAGACACCCAAACAATAGCCACCCAGGCAATAGATACCCAGACAATAGACAGATCAGAATACTCACGATAATAGATGTTAGAGAGGAGAGTGGCGGGGAGACAGAAGACGATCACTAAGACGTCTGCGAAGGCCAAGTTAACGATGAAGTAATTGGTGGGTGTGCGCATGCGCGGAGTTCTGCAAGGGGGGAGATACATCTTTAAACAACTGTACGAAAAAAACCATTTTCACAAACACACATAAACACACACACACACACACACATACACATTGCCACAGACATATTAGAAAGACCATTCTTAGTATCAGAGTGGTTGACAAATGGAATGCATTAGGAAGTGATGTGGTGGAGGCTGACTCCATACACAGCTTCAAGTGTAGATATGATAGAGCCCAGTAGGCTCAGGAACCTGTACACCTGTTGATAGACGGTTGAGAGGCGGGACCAAAGAGCCGAAGCTCAACCCTCGCAAGCACAACTAGATGTGCTCTTCCTTCTCTTATATATACTTCCATTTGCCGTTTTCCTTTCAGGAAAATACTCTCGTCATGAATAATTCACTTGCTTGATTTTTATCATGAAAAACAACATTTGATATTTGCTGTTGTGCAAAAGTTTTTGTTCCTCGCAGAGCAACTAATTATATCAAAGTCATAGCTGCCGGGAACCATGTCTTTTATCTGAAACATGAACGTTGAACGATAATTATACGTTCACCGATTTGTTGAACACAATGCCAAAGGCTTCGTAGCCGCCACTGTGTTATATTTTGACAGAGGATTGTGTTCATTATAAAGGTAGGCTAAATGAGGCCAGGTTATGCTAGGTTAGGCTAAGGATTTGCTAGGTTAGGCTAGGTAATGCTAGTTTAGGCTAGGTAATGCTAGGTTAGGTTAAGGATTTGCTAGGTTAGGCTAGGTAATGCTAGTTTAGGCTAGGTAATGCTAGGTTAGGCTAGGTAATGCTAGGTTAGGTTAAGGATTTGCTAGGTAATGCTAGGTTAGGCTAGGTAATGCTAGGTTAGGTTAAGGATTTGCTAGGTTAGGCTAGGTAATGCTCGGTTAGGCTAGGTAATGCTAGGTTAGGCTAAGTAATGCTAGGTTAGGCTAGGTAATGCTAGGTTAGGCTAGGAGAGATTAGTTAACTTAGACAGCTAATTTCCGGTAGTATAGAAAATCGAGTCATTGAGATCAGCAAATAAGACGCGTTGTTTACGAGTTCCGTCAAATTAGGGGGCGTTCTGATTGTCAGGGGGAAGGGGGGAGGGGGTATTGGTAGGGGACCGGAAGGCTGTTAGGCTTATCTGGCTGCCCCTTACACCAGGGGCGGGTAACCTTTTTAAGTATAAGCACCAAAATCACCAAATCTCTGACGCAAAGTATTTTTTTTCGCGTGTCAACCGAAATTTGGGGGAGCATATTATTATTATACCGTGTCTTTGAAGTATTGGGAGAACATTTTCGATAATATAATCTCAGCTGTGTTCTGTGTCCCAGCCTCGCTGTGTCCTGTGTCCCAGCCTCGCTGTGTCCTGTGTCTCAGTCTCGCTGTGTCCTGTGTCCCAGCCTCGCTGTGTCCTGTGTCCCAGCCTCGCTGTGTCCTGTGTCCCAGCCACGCTGTGTCCTGTGTCCCAGCCTCGCTGTGTCCTGTGCCCCAGCCTCGCTGTGTCCTGTGTCCCAGCCTCGCTGTGTCCTGTGTCCCAGCCTCGCTGTGTCCTGTGTCCCAGCCACGCTGTGTCCTGTGTCCCAGCCTCGCTGTGTCCTGTGCCCCAGCCTCGCTGTGTCCTGTGTCCCAGCCTCGCTGTGTCCTGTGTCCCAGCCTCGCTGTGTCCTGTGTCCCAGCCTCGCTGTGTCCTGTGTCCCAGCCTCGCTGTGTCCTGTGTCCCAGCCACGCTGTGTCCTGTGTCCAAGCCGCACACCACCGGAGGCATATGTGTGAAGCCATGACCAACGGCACGGGAGTCAGAGGTGAGACTGTCACATATATATCAGCGACGAGGGACTGGAAGAGTTACAGCGCGCGGTAAATCCTTCAGTGTGCGCTGACACCATTACCAAGGGTAACATAATCCCGGGAATTTATCTCTGGTGCAAATAATAAAATTAGCGAATAATGAACTCAAAATATCCGACTCATTAACTCTTGCTAAAGCAACATACTCTAAACTCACTGGTTATAGAGGAATGGTTGGCTGCTAACTCAGAGATATCCTAATCTAACCTAACTCGAGACGTAGCGTTAACAAACCCTAATTTAGGGGCCTTCCGTTTCAAAATCTTAATTCAAGGCCTCGTGTTAATAAACCCTAATTCAATTCCTTTCGGTTTTATGCTTGCTAGTCTAGTTGCTAGAGAGCAAAAATTCTGAAAATTCACAAAAGCATTTGTAGATTTTCCCGGGAATACATTTTAGAATGCAAATGTTTGACCTCAGAAGACATGCAATTTATATTATAATTTCTTCAGGGAGTCTGAAAACAGTCACACACAAACTTGGTTACCTGTCTACTGAGACTGAAGTCCTTGCATACCTTATGTGGGGGGCAGGGAGGGGGTTGTTGTGGGGGGTGGGGATTGTGGGTGGGGCCAGACCCGGGGGTGGGGTCAGGGCCGGGGTCAGGGCCGAGGATGGGGTCAGGGGGTACATAAGGCTCAAGAGCTGGAGTCTCTAGGGGAAGCCACCGGCTTAAAGTAATGCACCAGCTAAAATTAGCACACTATGACGTCCGCGCCAGGGGGTTCAACCCCCCGCCCCCCCCCCACACACACGACACCACAACCATTATCAAAATAAATCAGAATAAACAAGAACTAACGGAGAAACACTGCTGTTATTTGTTCACCAGGAATGAGAGCAATGCCAAATATCTCTCTCGAATTTGAGAAGGACGATATATATATATATATATATATATATATATATATATATATATATATATATATATATATATATATATATATATATATAATATTCCTACCATTGTAGGTAACTTAATAATGGTCTATGCTAAAGCCACTAGAGTGCAAATGCTGAATTGGTCGTTCTGCGAACATTATCAGGCAGCACCATTCAGTAGCACTCTGGACATACTGGAAATGATACTGAAGATTCATATCCGAACAGACGTACTAATTACTGGTTCATGAAGTGAATCCTGGCGCAGGAACTGATCAAGGCTGATTGCAGCCTACCAGGACTGAGCGGGCATCAAGACTAGTATATTACAGCAATATTAACCCAATAGCCAATAGTGGGGGACAAGAATGGATCAATGCAATGGAGCCTCAAACACGCTCTTCGTGGAACATTATTTAAAACAAAATATATATTAAATTAATCACAGATACGCGTTATCTGATAAAGATCACAGATCACACTCACTATGATATAATATGTTTATATTGTATAAGTCATCTTTATGCGTGCAAATGTGTGAAAATCTTTGTGGATCAGACACGGTCTCCACGAGTCGGTATGATTGGTGCCATTCACACAATCGCTCATCTGCGGATATCCATCACAGATGAGCGATGCTCGAGTGATGCTGCCACTCAGGGAACTTAGTGATTGCCACTCAGACACTTATTAATGGCATCTCAAAGCTGCCCATCTGCTTCTGCCGTAATATTAAAAAAAAGAGGTTTCAGAGGTATATAAACATTAATTGTTAAGCAAGAAAAGCGATTCCTCACCTGAAGACGACAGCGATGACGAAGCAGTTGCCGACGAGGCCCAGAATGAAGACGATGACGTAACTGAGGCCGAGGAGCGCCCCGGTGTTGATGGAGTGACGGTACAGGAGGTCGTCCAGCGAGAGGTCGTAATCGCTGTAATTTAACCCGAATGAACCGTTCAGGTTATCCAAGTCCACATCTAGTTGACCCAATGAGGAGGTGTCGTTGGAGGTGTGATTGAGCAGGAGGAAACTGGAGGCCTGCTGAGATACATCTGAGCCGAGAGTCAGCAAGTCTGTCATGGTAGATTCCGTCTCGTTCAAGGACGTGTATACAGTGGTGAAGCTGTCCATGACACCTGTCCTGTTTCCCTGTACAGCTGTCGACGAGGTGGCCCCGTCGGGCGGCCCGTGAGGACCCACAGGCGTCTCTGTGTTGGTATGAATCGCTGACATGTTTTGACCGGACCACAACACACTTTTCGGAGTTAACAGACTCTCAAGTGTGTCTCTGCTGGCGGCTCCTGAGGACGCCACCGTCGTCGCATCCATAACACTTGCCTGCCGACTACTGCTATCAGTCCTAATCACTGGCTTGTAACAACTACCTTGACACGTTTTGTAACTGTATACAAGTCAATGGAACAAGCTACAGCCGCGCGGTAACGACAGAGGGCTATATCATGTCACCAATTTTGAACACGATGGTCTAATCCTTGTTACCACGGAAAATGTTCATTGAAACATTGTATAAACGTTGATTAGAGTAAACAGTAGTGTGATTAATTAACTACCATCCGTACAGACATTTTCATATGGTTCTCAAGAGGACACACAATCCCTTGTTATGTTTATTTTTCACATTTCTTGTGTCGTAGAGGCCAGATGGGTCGGGCTTGGAGGCCAGATGGGTCGGACTGGGAGGCCAGATGGGTCGGGCAGGGTGGCCAGATGGGTCGGGCTGGCAGTCCGGAGAAACCAGCTCTCAATATCTGAAACAAAAAAATACTTTTATTATTTTATTGTGATACAAATTAGATAAATGGGATAAAATTACCACACACTAATTTAATACACACACTAAGTGTGTGTATTCACACACACTTAGTGTACAGTAAATAAAACTGGTATACTAAGCTTACATGCTGTTGTTGTTGTTTTAGATTCAGCTACTTGGAACAAAAAGTTCCAAGTAGCACGGGCTATGGTGATCCCGTAGTGGGCTTACCTGGCACAGGAGCGGGGCTGTGGACTTACATGCAGTAACTTAGGTATCTATAAGATATAAGTGAGGGTTAACCTCACCCTAAGATTCATCTTTGTCATATATGTTACATTCCTCGAGGGAAAACAGTTCTCCTTTTTCATCAAGGCCCGTGTGGATTTGTTTATTTCTCGTTTTTTCTTGGACAGAATATCTTTACTGATTGAAGATTATCAAATTCTTCGGACACTTCGATTAAGTTCCTCATTGTCACCTCTTAATCATTGCACTTCATGCCAAAACTATTTCGTTCACCACTGAATGTCGCATAATAGGAACATAACCCCATTAACAACAACACGGGTCAAACACAAGCGAACAAGTAAATCATTACTGACTACACACAAAGCAGTTGATTGGGACAGAAGAGGAGATTGCAGTCAGAGGCCAGGATCACTGGAATACAATTACTCTGCTAAACAAGGCCAGGAATTTCCGAATACACACTGTTTACTCTACTGTTGGACGCTGCTTACAGTGACCCCGTCAAGCGGACTGCCCAAACTGATCCGTTGGCCCGAAACTGAGCAGGATCACGTGACAAAGACCGCAGTGATATATCTCAACTTGGTTTGGTGTTGGGTTCAAGGCCAATCAACTTTTAAAGTGTTATTAAGACCACCACAACCTCTTACTGACCAACCAGGCAGTTTACTTTAGTCCAGAACATTGTCCAGGACTAAAGTAAACTCTCAGTGTATATACACTAAGAAGCGGGTATACATATCTGTATATGTATATGTCTCACCTCAAGGTGATCTTGACTTCAGTCTTGACTGTGGAAGCTTTAACAGCTGACACAATACAGAACAAATTCATGTGCTCATTATAAGTTTAATGTAAGCATTGCGTCGTGTATATTACAGACCTTTAGTTACAACACTCCTGAAACGTACAGTATATGCAGATATATAAAATACATCATCAGGCTCAATAACCATTATATACTCAATGATTATTATTGGTAATAAAATCTTTAATTCACTTGGGGCTAATATCAATACGTTTACCTTAATGACCTCCAACTGTGGTAATTTGTTCCCCCGTCATTCATTATACACTGAAAGAAAGACTTTCACCTGATCACCTTTCGTTAGCGCCTCTACCCTTAACTCTCTCTCTTCCCTCCTCTCTCTCTCTCCCTCTCTCTCTCTCTCTCTCTCTCTCTCTCTCTCTCTCTCTCTCTCTCTCTCTCTCTCTCTCTCTCTCTCTCTCTCTCTCTCTCTCTCTCTCTCTCTCTCCCTCCTCTCACCTCTCTCCTCTCACCTCTCTCCTCTCACCTCTCTCTCTCCTCACATTCTCCACCCTTACCTTTCTTCCCCTCACAACACATCAGTCTGTCCTCGTATCTCTGGTATCTTACACTACATCATGCAGAAAGGGATTTATAAAAGCAAGAGGTGAACTCGTTTCTTGCTGTATATTATATATATATATATATATATATATATATATATATATATATATATATATATATATATATATATATATATATATATATATATATATATATATATATATAATTAGTTTATTTTAGTCCTGGGTCCGGGGCTGCGGTCAGAGTCCCAAGTTAGATGCCCAACAGAGTCCCAAGTTAGATGCCCAACAGAGTCCCAAGTTAGATGCCCAACAAAGTCCCAAGTTAGATGCCCAACAAAGTCCCAAGTTAGATGCCCAACAGAGTCCCAAGTTAGATGCCCAACAGAGTCCCAAGTTAGATGCCCAATAAAGTCCCAAGTTAGATGCCCAACAGAGTCCCAAGTTAGATGCCCAACAGAGTCCCAAGTTAGATGCCCAATAAAGTCCCAAGTTAGATGCCCAACAGAGTCCCAAGTTAGATGCCCAACAGAGTCCCAAGTTAGATGCCCAACAGAGTCCCAAGTTAGATGCCCAACAGAGTCCCAAGTTAGACCCCGACAGAGGAAAGTGATGATAATGTAAAGGGAAGGAAAGGCATAAGTAGGACAGAGAACCTGTAAAATAAGGTGTTGCAGAGTCGGGAAAAGTGTCAAGTGGTTAACAAAGGGATAGAGAGAGGTGCATAAAAGAACAGAAAGTAGAGCGAGGGGAGGGGAGGGAATGAAGAAGGGAAAGAGGAAGGAAGAGGGGAAATAGAGAGAGTAAAAGGGGAGAGACGCAGTTAACCACATTTTGAGTCGGGTGATGAATGCCAGGGAGCAGCTGAACAGTAAAACTGAGGGCAATGAAAAATTAAACAATTGGTTCCAGCCGGCAGCAGAATGGGGGAGCTTCAGTGAATTTTCAACCAAGACGGAAATTAGAGGTAATTAGAGGTAATAAGAGGAGCAGAGACTACTAACACGTTTTAATGAGCCTTCAGGGACGAGGAGGAGGTTCTGGGGAACATCTTGTAGAACAATAGTTACGAAGCTTCGAATTAGGGTTGAAGACGAAGAGGGTGCATGGAGGTAATTGTTGTTCTCGTGAACAAAGGAGAAAGTAAGGAGAATGAACTTTTAAATCTTACATCAAATATTTTACCTTACGCTGCCAGAAGGGAATATATTATAAGCTTATGGCATAAAAATAAATATGATAGGCATAATATTTATCTTTGTCAAGCGTACTTATGAGAATTAAATTAAATTCTTAAGTGGTGGGGGATTTAATCCTATTTTACCTGGCTATCATTCGCCATGTTGGGTTATGGGTTAGAATTAGGCACGTTAATGGGCAGCACTGAAAAATGTTTGTGTCCGTCTGAAGGTCAGGGCTCTGAGGCTTTTGTTCCTGCTGCATTTATGACAACAATGAATGGTCTGTGTTGATGTTGTATACCTCCACCCACACACCTGGTCTCTGTACCTCCACCCACACACCTGGTCTCTGTACCTCCACCCACACACCTGGTCTCTGTACCTCCACCCACACACCTGGTCTCTGTACCTCCACCTACACACCTGGTCTCTGTACCTCCACCCACACACCTGGTCTCTGTACCTCCACCCACACACCTGGTCTCTGTACCTCCACCCACACACCTGGTCTCTGTACCTCCACCCACACACCTGGTCTCTGTACCTCCACCCACACACCTGGTCTCTGTACCTCCACCCACACACCTGGTCTCTGTACCTCCACCCACACACCTGGTCTCTGTACCTCCACCCACACACCTGGTCTCTGTACCTCCACCCACACACCTGGTCTCTGTACCTCCACCCACACACCTGGTCTCTGTACCTCCACCCACACACCTAGTCCCTGTACCTCAGCCTACACACCTGGTCTCTGTACCTCCACCCACACACCTGGTCTCTGTACCTCCACCCACACACCTGGTCTCTGTACCTCCACCCACACACCTGGTCTCTGTACCTCCACCCACACACCTGGTCTCTGTACCTCCACCCACACACCTAGTCCCTGTACCTCAGCCTACACACCTGGTCTCTGTACCTCCACCCACACACCTGGTCTCTGTACCTCCGCCCACACACCTGGTCTCTGTACCTCCACCTACACCTGGTCTTTGTACCTCCACCCACACACCTGGTCTCTGTACCTCCGCCCACACACCTGGTCTCTGTACCTCCACCTACACCTGGTCTCTGTACCTTCACCTACACCTGGTCCCTGTACCTCTACCTACACCTGGTCTCTGTACCTCCACCTACACACCTGGTCTCTGTACCTCCACCTACACCTGGTCTCTGTACCTCCACCCACACACCTGGTCCCTGTACCTCAGCCTACACACCTGGTCTCTGTACCTCCACCTACACCTGGTCTCTGTACCTCCTCCCACACCTGGTCTCTGTACCTCCACCCACACACCTGGTCTCTGTACCTCCACCTACACACCTGGTCTCTGTACCTCCACCCACACACCTGGTCTCTGTACCTCCTCCCACACACCTGGTCTCTGTACCTCCACCTACAAACCTGGTCTCTGTACCTCCACCCACACACCTGGTCTCTGTACCTCCACCTACACCTGGTCTCTGTACCTTCACCTACACACCTGGTCTCTGTACCTCCACCCACACACCTGGTCCCTGTACCTCAGCCTACACACCTGGTCTCTGTACCTTCACCCACACACCTGGTCTCTGTACCTCCACCCACACACCTGGTCTCTGTACCTCCACCTACACCTGGTCTCTGTACCTCCACCCACACACCTGGTCTCTGTACCTTCACTTACACCTGGTCTCTGTACCTCCACCCACACACCTGGTCTCTGTACACCTGGGTGTACATAGGTAAAGAATCCTTATGTCATAAGAATTTTGAGTAGATCTTTATCTACATTATCATTGCAAAACAAACAGGTAAAACATAATATCTCTCACAAGAATTATATTATAACAGATATCAGGGCTAGATTCACCTTGCGTATTTAGAACTATAATCAATTATCTTTATAATTAGTTTCTCACTTGTTTAGAGTAATTAATGCAGTTAACAATTGCACTCATAACTGGTACGCTATGACACTAGACCTCAGGTTAATTGGGGCAAGAGAACAGCTTCAAGCCGGCGGTATTTGGCACGGATAAAATCCGTACTAATTAAAGTCAATCAATTATTCAGCATTAATAAGCAACTGAATTTCACTTTAAATAATACGAGAGTTAACACGGGCTGTGTGCTTCTCATTTGCTCTCACGCTGTCACGCACTCACACACACACACACACACACACACACAAACACACACACACACACACACACACACACACACACACACACACACACACACACA